TTCCCCTGACCCCATACTGCTGGCAGAGGATGTGTAGTGCTCCTTGACATAAAGTGCCACCCCCCCGCTTTTCTGCCTTCTCTATCCCGCCTGTACAGCCTATAGCCCCTAATGTTAACTGCCCAGTCATGGGATGAGTCCCACCATGTCTCTGTTAACCCTACGACATCTGGATTTGAACTAGCTATTCTGAGGGCGAGTTCCTCCTGTTTGTTCCCCATGCTACGAGCATTGGTGTACAGGCATTTAAGGCCTTGCAAGACTGTGTGCCACCCCACCCCCTGATTAGCCAGACCATCAGGACCCCTGTTACTTACATTTGCACCCCTTCCCTGATGGCAAGACCCCCATTACTTACCTTTGCACCCCTTGCCCTGATGGCGTCTCCTCGTCTTCCTGCAGCCCCCTCCCCCGGCGAGTCTAGTTTAAAGCTCGCCGTACGAGATCAGCCAACCTGGACTTGATAAACTGTAATAATATCTTGATAGTGTTTGAAGGATCCTGTACTGTTACATTAGAAAAAATTATCTAAAGCATTGAACTTGATTTATTGGAACAGTTGTTACTTCTCTTCCTTTTTAATTTGCTGCCTTTTTATGATGAAATTTTGGCCCTACTCAAGTCAATGAGAGTTTTGTCTTTGACTTTAGTAGAACCAAGATTAAGTCCATTGTCTGTGCTACTTACACATTTTCTGGCTAGGTAAGGCTTTATAATCGTTACTGATTATGTGGCTGTCTCTATTCATTAGGTAGATACATGTGCAGAAAAAGTGACAGACATATTGTCTTTTTTTCTGGCATTTTATGTCTTTTGAGAGTGGGAGTCATTAGTTTATTGGAGTAATTTCCTTCATTGCAAGAACTTTCCTGGCTTTGTGGAACACCGTTGAAGAGTTGGTGGGAAAATTTTCAACAAAGCAATTTTCTCTTGGAAAATGGGGATTCTGTATTATGAAACCATTCTGCAGTACCAACACAACTTGGAAAAACTTTGAAGGCAAACCAAGCAAGGAGGTGGGCTTCTAGCATTCTAGAAAGCTGGTTCATTGGGCCGCCCATTTTTCTGGCCACCTTGACTCACTGTCCAGCTCTGCCCAAAATTTCTTAGAAATGCAAGTGGATTTGGAACAATTGAAATGATTTGGAGTCCAGAATCATATCCAGGAGCAGATCCAGCAGGGTGGATTTGATTTAAATTGTGATTTAAAATGACTGGTCAGGAAGCCTACATTTAATCATTGTTTTCTACAAAAAGTGTATTGTTGTTTCAGATAACTTCATTAAAATATTCCCAAACAGAGCCTCTTTAATGGCCTGACAAGCCTCTTGCCATAATAGGTTTTCCCTTCTACCATACCATTCCCTCACTAGATCTCAAATCAATGGACTGGCTATACCCAGAAACTTATCCCTCAAGACTTCTGCAATAGTCTGCTCAAAATGTTTTTCTTCTGTTTCTGCTGCCCCTCCTCCTCCTTGCCCAGATCTATTCCACCCCCCACAATCCTTTATTCATTTAACTTTGGTAATATTTATAACTTTGCACTTTTACAGAGAGGTAAGGACTTGACTCTGTGTACACAGACTTGCAGAGAGACAATAAGGCCGAAGGGTAGGTAATCAGGTCTGTTATCTCTCATCTTCATATACTGCTGTTAATAAGGATGTTATCTCTGAAGACACAAATTCACAGTTTGAGAAATAAAACTAAGCATCACAGAGATGCTTAATGGGATCTTCTAGGCTGACCCCATAAGATGGGGCCCCTAATATAGTCCATGGCCTGTTGTGACCTATTTATAAAACATTTCTAAAAAGGTTGCATGAATATATTGTCTCAACTAGTATATAATTAGAAGTTATAAGTCTTATTCCATGATGGTATCTTTGAGCTCTAACATATCTTAAATTAAAATTATATACGGTTTTTTTAAAAAGCATCTTAAAAATATGATTAAATCAAAGAAATCTGATGTAAATAAAAAAAATCTGATTAAAAAATTTTTTTTTTTTAACTTGATTTGTATCCACCTTCAGATCCAGGATTTGGCAAAGTGGGGTGTGGGAGCAACTCCCCGCACTGCAGGGGACCCTGCACTGCCACTTCTTCTTTTCTCCTCCTTTTCTCTCTCCTCCCCCAACCACCAGTTTAGGCCAACTGTGCCTAGAACCTCTGGGGACTTTTTAAAGTCCCTAAAGCAGGTAAGAATCCTCTCTTCCCCTTTGTGATTAGTGGCATTTCCCCTTCCCTCCCCTTCATCCCCTCCCCTACTTGCTGCTACTGCTTTCCCTGCTGTCCTGGGGTGAGGGAAGCTTCAAAGCATCTTGCCCACTCCAGCTGGGCTATGAGACAGGTGGACTCAGATGGGACAGTGACAACTGCAGCAGTGGAGATGGGTTGGGGAAGGGTTCCCTCACCTTGCCTTGTCCCCCCAGGAGCAGGTGCAGAAAGAGGGAACCCCTCCTGCCCGTCATCTCTGATGTTGTCAGTGTTCCCAGTGAGCCCACCCTGTACAGCCCAGCTGCAGTGGGCAGGAACATCTTTGAAGCTTCCCTGGCCCATGGACAGTGTGGAAAGTAGTAGTAGCAGGTGGGTGGGAAGGGAGGGGATTTGCTTCTGAGCAGGAGAGGGAAAAAGCTAGATTCTTACCTGCTTTGGGGGCTTTAAAAATGTACCCAGAGGCTTCTGAGGTGTGATTCAATCTAGAAGGTGGATGCAGCATATCACTGCACCCTCCTCTGGATCTGCCCCTGATCACATCTCATTCATTACTGGTGTTTTTATTGATGAAATCCCTTCATCGACCAGTTTTCAGAGACATCCTCCTAGATGTATGTGAAGCCAATTAGTTACCTATATCATCTCTTCCAGATATTTAACTCTCCCTTGACTATATTCTTGGCCACGAGATTGGGAAGTTCAGTATTAAAAATGGAGAACTATATAATTTCTGGTTTATCTGCAGTTCAGTCCCTACAGCTACATCGTACTGAATCCATTCTTTAAATCAAGGCTGTTCAACCGAGGGGCCAGCTTTTGACCTGAAGACCCTGGGGGCTGCCAGTCTCACTGGTGCACAGCAAGGCTCTGCATGTCACCTGTGTAGCTTGTATAGCACGAGAGAGGCCTTCATGGACTTCCAGAGCTGCCTGAATGGGGACAGGGCTGCGCGCTGCTGACACAGCAAGGGCGGAGGCTACCCCCACAGCATGCTGGCGTCATTGTGCACCCCAGGGACTACATGCTGGCACTGTACGCAACCCCTGGCCATATCAAAGTTGAACAGCACTGCTTTCAATATTGTATGGTCTAGTGTCTAACGAGCAGCACAGCATTCACAAATACACAGCCCACTAGAGAAATCCATGGTGTTATTGAGTTATATCCAGTTTCTAATTGCTTATGTATTGGATCCATTACACATGCAAAGATCACAGGGAGAAAATGTAGCATGTGTCTCAGATATCCAGGTTGTAGCCATATTGGTTTAGAGGCAAAAGGAATTGGAACTCATGGTAGAAGTAATATTGTTTATTAGACCAACTAGATGTTTGCAAAAAAAAAAAAGTGTATTTGCAAGCTTTCGGGCACAGGCACCCTTCTTCAGGCATAGGAAAAAAAATTGTAAAAGTTCTCCTAGGCAGAAATGAAAGTTCACATATCATAGGAGAGTTGAAGGTGTGGTAAGATCTCCTGTTTGGAACAGTTCATTTTATGCAGATTAGGCTCAGAGAAAAGTTGGAATAATCTGTTTACCTCCAAGTTGTTTGGTGGCAAGCAGGATGTAGAGTCATATTTCCTTCTGGTTATGATGTTTCATATTTCACAGAAGAGTAAAAAGATGGAATGCCCTTCTGGCAGGAATTTCTTATGTGGTGGGGTATCTGGGCTCTGTGATGGTGCAAATTACCTTGAACAAAGGCAGGAGCAGTGTGTCAGGTTTCAGGTGGTAAAACTTGCCTGCTCCTTGTAAAATTATGAAGATTTCATTTCAGATGTATATCTCTCATGATACTTTTTCCTTCTTTGTTTTTATGGGGCATCAGTTTTGTTTACTTTTAATCCTATGTACAGCTTACATGCTATGAGTTTGTTTATCAAGGGAGAGCTGCTCTGTTGATACAGTTGGTCAGTGTCATATGCTATGTGCGGCATGATGGGTCATGGAGGGACAGCTAGAATATTCCAGTGATCCAACAGCTGATGGGTTGGGACCTCTGGTCAACAGGTCACATCCCTTTTTCCTTCTGTACTGTCTTTTGTCCCCCCCACTGAAGGGAGAAAAGACTTTTTCCATGTCCTGAACCATGCAGAGTTTTCCGTGCAGTTTACCCCCTTTCAGGGTTTTTCTTTATAAAGGTGTAGTCTTTGGAATGATTCCTAGTCCCCTGGAAATGCAAAGGAGCTGTTTTTTTTTTCCACTGACATTGATGGGATCAGGATTTTGCTCATAGCAACAAGAGACAACATCTTTTAAACAAGTGAGTATTTTGGGCAAAATGAGTAGTGTATCAGGGATTTAAATCTAAGCCAGTTTCAGAGTGCTGTCAGCTGTCCTCCTAAAGTGGACAAGATGAATGCCCTGTACTTTGTCACTTAGAAAGAAACAGCATTTGACATGCAAGGAGAAAAATGACGTATTTGGCTTTCGTTTACAGTAATACAGAACAGATCATTTTGCTAATCCTTGCTGCAGTCTGAAAACTCCTGCAGCTGATTCAGTTCAGCAGCAAGCATGTTGAGCTTAGGGACATGAAAGGGATGCATTTAAAAATAGGAAATAAAATAAACTAAGTAGAATCATTTTCTCATTTAACACCCACTGCTTTGTGAACATACCAAACATCTTTGGATTAATATACTTTTTCTTTCTTCTTTAGGTGATAAGTAGATTGTAGTCCATATTTCTTTAAACGGAGTCAAGAAAAGTTCTTTGCGCCTTTTCTACAATGTTAAGACTAACATTTTGTTTGTGTGTTTTTGTTTTCCTTTTATAGGTTGCCTTTTTAAAGGTATGAAGAATCCAGACACATTAGTTGAAAATTCTTCTCAAGTTAACTTTCAAATGGTACACACAAATTTAAGGATAATTTCAGAGCCATTGAGGATAAAAAGAAAGACATTTTATTTCATCCTTTTTCTAGCTTGCTATTTGATTATGAAAATACAAAGCCAGTAACAGAGAGCAATAACTAACTCAGGGAGGCATATGCTACATGCCTGGAGTTCTGAGAGTGACTTACCTCCCATGTCAGAAAACTGGTATTTCTGTAATGATGACCCCTTCATTGCCAAGGGTGAAGAAATTATGTGCCAACCTCTCTATGGCACAGTGCTTCATAAACCGATTTGTCTTGCATGGAAAATGAAGAACGGGCAGCCAATAGAAGGTATAAAGTATTCAATGTAGTGAATTCTAAGACATGCATGCAGTACTTTTTTCTACTTTGTTTCGGTTGATAAACCTAAAAGGTCACCAGATAAATAGAATTCGAAAATACAAAATGATGTTTTCCAGCAACCTTGGGCCTGCATCACACACATTCCTTTTCAAGAGAGAAACTGGTATTTCAGTGCCTGTACTCTGTGTAAAACTAAATGAGATTGACACTGCTTCCATTAAAATTTACAACAAAAAGATTTTGTGATTACTTGAAAGAAATGACCCTGCAACTTTAAAAAGAAGCATGCATGCTAATGTAGGCTTTGTAGGGGCTGTTAGGAGTTCTTTTGACAGAATTCATCTGTGTCCAGGGCAATACATCCTTGCATACATTGTCCTTCTGAGGTACCTCATCCCTTCTTTGGAGAGACCACATGTTTGGGTGGCAGAAAGTTGGGCAAGCTGCCATATTAGGGCATTTATTCACAGACTTTTTTTCCAGCTACACGCCAGTGATCTGCTACTTCAGAGCAGACTCAACTGCTTCACACATGAGCTGAGGCGAACTGCACTGCGCCCCGTGTAGTTGTATAAGCAGCGAAGTGCGCGTCAGTGTGCAGAAAAGGGCGGTGCTGCACTTCTGAACTAAAGCATCTCCAAGATGTTATAGTTCAAAAGCATGCTGCCACCATTTTCTCAGAGCTGACATGCATTTTGCCACTTATACAACTATATGTGTCGCAGTGCTGGGTGCTTTTCAAAGCACCCAGCGTTGCAAAAATGCCCTTACAGACTAACTGCTTCAGAGAGGTATAAGCTTTTGTAAGTGACAGCCTACTTCATCAGATGATAGCAAGCTGTCACCTGTGAAAGATCATGGTTCCCTGTATCTGTTAGTCTGTAAGGTGACACCCTGATCTACCCTCTGCTTGACTTTGGAAAAGCTTGGCTAACTATCTTTCATATCTGGGTGGGAGTGTAGTTCAATGCCATTCAGTTCTTCTGCTTCTTATGAGTCTGTCAATGAGGGTGCCACTTAATGCTAATTGGAGTTGGAATGATTTCTGTGTTGCGGACACGTATTTACTTGTCACTGGACTGATATTTCCAAATACACTATCTACAGAAAAAAAAAGACTTTTTCTTGTTTTCAGATGCAGAGTGCACTGCTCCCTCTCCAGTTGTCAGTAATCACTTTTGCCTCCGCTGCTCAGAAAAGTACCAGAAAGGATTTGTACGTGTGGGTGGGCAATGGACAGAGAGAGATGATCTATTTATCTCTATACAAGTAATACTATTACTTTTGTTCAGCAGCTGCTCTCTGCTCTGTCTAAACTAAGGAAATAGCTTGAGCTTCATGAGGGAATTCATATTTCAGCTCCCTTTCATACTGCAAACTTCAGCCTCGGTTTTATACATATTTGAAACCCTGCATTTTGTAACATTCAGAAGCAATCTATTTTGCTATGCTACACCCTCAAGATCACCCTCATCAAGCCAAAACCTTAGCAAGACTCACAAAGGCTGATGAGACTACCCAGGGTTATAGTTAATATTAGCATGCATTTTGGAAGAGTTATTAAACTCCATGTTTCTGGGTTTAAATCAGTCTTTGTTCTTTGGGTGTGAGAGGAGACCTCCCTCAGGAGACACTTATCTGTCTCCATGAATTCCATCAGAGATACGATAAACTAGCTGGACCATGGGTCTGGCTCAGTCTGACAATTCCTAAGACTCTTGGAGAGAGAGTATGCATATGGGCTTATGGATGTTTGTGTGCAAAAAAAAAAAAAAAGCTGTTTATATGGGCCACCTTTTTTCAATATCTATCTTTAAATTAAGAAATCTGCTCATTTTCCAGAGGCAGTCCTTTCATTTGAACTGGGTGGAAGGTCACATTCTGATTATGTGGAGTTCTCTTGAAATCTCTTAGATTTCCCAAAAAGCCAGTGCTTCCTTTATGTATTTATCAGTAAAGTTCTTTTAACCCAGGGACTGATCCTGGAAGGCACTGGGCATCCCTTGTGAGTCACAGGACATCAATGGGAGTTGAGCGCACCCAGCAGCCAGTCTGGGTCTTTCTCTCTCTTTTTTTAACTATAATTATTTGGCTCACAGTATTCCTATAGGATCAAAAGTATGGGAATTTTGCAAGTATGTACTAAATAACTAGATTGTCTAGTTCCATGACATTTTGTCTATACAATAGTCATTTATTAATACTTATGAATAAAATATATTTTCCAAATCAGTTTGTCTTTTTATTCTTTCTCTGTTGTACAGTGGTCTCTGTCTTCCAGAATATGATTAAACCAGTCATGGAAGACACAGCATTCTAATCACGCAGTTTGATTGCAACCTCAAAACCTCTTCCAATGACTGTTGTGGTTTTGCGTGAATTGCACAATCTTCTACTTCAGCCAGCATTTATGCTTTGCTTGTTCAAAATCTGTTGCTTTGTCAATTTTTTCCACATAAATTAACTTTTTATGCCAATTATACAATATTAACTCTGATTGGAGGTCTGGTTCTGAGATGACGAAGTGTAAGCATATCCTTAATTTTATTCATCAGAAATAAAATATTTAAAAAATCTTTTTAGGGTGAGGCATTGGGAAAGCGATACATTTAATAGAAATCTAACCCCTTCTGACTTGGTTTTCTGTGAGTGATAAACATGTAGAAGATGAGAGAATACTGGACTTTTGATGTTCAGCTCTGCAGCACTCTAGGGGACACGTAGGGAGGAGGAGAAAGCACAGGTAATGCCAAGCCAAACGTACAGACTCACAAATGTAGATTCTTTTACAATCTTCTCTTCCTCCTCTTTGCTCCCAGATCTTAAAAATAAGGGTTGTGAGCTGTCAAAGATTAAACAGCCTAATTTAGCCCCCTTATAGACAGCTCCCTTGCTACACCTTACACTAGTGTATCTCAGTTTGAGGCACCCCTGAATAGATAGATTTGAGGCATCCCTCAGAAAATGGCAGCTCTTAGTTTTCACTCTATTTTGACACCAGAAAAATAATAGAGAAACTCTTCTGTTGCAGAGAACTCAGAAAGATCACCACAGGTCATAATGTTTTAACGGTAGGAATTGCAATTTGAAAACTCTGGGTTTATCTTGTGAATCATATTTGAACACCTAAGTGCTAACATTGTGTGGTACCCTTGAAGGAACCTCAAGGCACCCCAGGGTGCTCTGGCACTCTGGTTGAGAATCATTCCTGTAGACTACATTTATATAACCACCAGACTAGGGAGCATGACAAGGAAGTGCTGGGCACACACCTATAAGCTTGTATTTTGGACATGTTGATTAGCATGAGCCCATGATTAAGATTATTTATATCTGTTTTGGGGTGTAGCACACATGGGGTCATTGCTGTGCTTCACTGCAGCACTTGGTAAGCTTCAGAAATGTTCTTATCTGAAAACAGGTTTCCTTTCCTGTGAGCAGCAGAAAGGGGGAAAAGTCAATAAGGTTCCCTGAGAAGGATTTGGAATGACAACAGTCAATGCATTATTCAGCCAATAACTTCTGTTTCTATAGACACATTCCCTGGTTTTTTTTTTTCTTTTAAAACTTTCAGCGTTTTTATGCGATTTGTTTGTGTATTTGAATCCTGATTACTTTAATTGTCACTATACAGCAATCTTTTCTTGTTAAGACCTTATGAAAGGGGGAATGGGCACTATCTTTGCGAGACAGTGTCCATGGTGGTATAAAAGCAACCTGTTTCTATTTCTAGTTTTAAAACGGATCTGATGGTGATCTTGGGGCATTCAGTTCACTTCTCCATGTCTCCCTAAGTGTTGAATGAGGTAGTATGAAATTATTTTATACAGCAATTTGAGAGCTACAAATGAAACATAGTACATAAAGCCTAGAAGTGTGTACTTGTAAATAATTGTTACACTATCATTCATTACTGGTAAGTTGTGCTTCATTTTTAATATTATATTTAGCCTACTCCATAACAGAAATGTTGCTTATTCTTCAAGCTTACATAGCATCCATTAAATTATCTGCATATGAATAAATGAAAAACATCTAACAAAAACATCTTCTCTCCAACAAGAAATGGTTGGTATAATGTTCATGTAAAATAATTACTTCTGCTTTTTGTGCATCCGTCCTTCAGACTGTATTCTTGGCAAAAACTATCTTAATTTCTGTGTTTTTGTTAATGCCAGTGCAGTGTTTGTCCTAAAATAATAAGTTGACAGTGCTGTTAAAAAATCCCCAGCTCACATGAAGTGCGATGGATGTGTGCCTCCTATCCTAATGGCTCTATAATAACTTCCCAAGTACTGAAAAGTAGCAAGAAGATATTCAAAATGTCAGCTTTAATTCTTATGTGCCATCCAGCTTTATAAAAGGCGATTAGTGTAGTGCATAAAACATGTATGTCAAGCAGACCAGCAATATCCTCTCAATAAACAAAGGCAGCCAATAATACTGTCTTCATCATTAATAGGTCATAGGTTTATTACTCTATTGTAGGGCTTATCTGTTTGGGAAAGTTTTTCCCTGTTAGTTTGATTTAATTAATAAGGATACTTAAGCTAAAATAGTTATAACAGTTTAACCCTCATGTAGGAGCTCTTATTCCAAACTGTAAGTGGCTTCTTACAGTTTTATCTTATAATTTGCCACTTTGGAAGAAGTTTAAGCTAAAAAGAAGTCATTCAGACCAAATTAACCATCCAGATAAGCACAACTATATCTATTTAAATTCACATCTTAGCTTGTATCTTTCTTTTAGGTGATAACGTTCCCTTATTGACACATCTTTAGTTACACGATAAAAAGCAGCTTTTCAAATCTGATTAAAGAGTGCATGTTTATTTAAAATTTTTTGCAGGGTCCCCGCATGAGCTGATTTACCCCAGGCCCACCTGCTGCTGGCCTCAGGCAGCAGCACCAGCCTCCTGTGATCCAGGAGGCAGATTGGGGGCCTGCACCTCTGCGAGCAGTCCAGCACAGCCCCCGCAGCCCTCCTGGAGGTATGAGAGGCCCCGATCCGCCTGCCGGATCACAGGAAGCTGGTGCTGCCTGCTGGGTCCAGCACTGGGCACAGTCCATGCTGGGAAGATCGGTGCTGCCACTGGCCCCAGCTGGCAGCACCAGCCTCTTGTCATCCGGCAGGCAGATTGGAAGCTCGCCTGCATCCCCGGGAGGGCTGCGGGGGCTATGCCGGACTCCTCTTGGGGATGCAGACCCCCTATCTGCCTGCCAGATGACAGGAGGCTGGTGCTGCCACCTGGGGCCAGCGGCAGCACTGATCTTCCTGGCGCTGGGTGGGCGAAATGTCGAAACAGCATTGAACAGCAAAACAATTTCAACGAAACGAAACAGAACTGTGCTTTCGAAATGAAACAAAACTCAGAACGAAACACTGTTCTGTCGAAATGGAAGTCGAAGTGGAACGGTGCTGTTTCACACAGCCCTACTGCCTGGTGTTTTTTGTCCGTCTCTCACAGGCTGTCTTGCAATTATTGCATCACAATTATATAAACATGAAAGATTTTGTAGCTGTGACAAATCCTAGAAACACAGGGAGCCCCTTATCTGCACTAGGAAATTGCATTACAGTGAAATATGCATTTACTGACGTGGCAGTCAAGGATAAGATATTTAGCATTAAGATTTGCTA